TGATAAGATCATGGAAAGTTCCAGACAGAGGCCAGCAGGGGCCAGCGTCCTTGTAAAACCAGTTATGGCCCCTGTAATTCATGATTTTAAAAGAGGCTTGAAGACTTTTTTATTTAAGCAAGCCTATTCTGCCTCCACATGATTTTTATGTTGTTTATTTTTATCTTTGATTTTATTGACCACATGATTTTTATGTTGTTTATTTTTATCTTTGATTTTATTGACCACATGATTTTTATGGTTGATTTTTTATCTTTGATTTTATTTGCACTGTGTAGCACTTTGAGATTTTTCTTAATGAAAAGTGCGGTCCAAATTGGATTTATTATTATTATTATTAATTGCCCCTGTACTAGAGGCTTAGTACTAAATCTTCTTACTTTTGCACTTTCAGCTTTAGTTATATTGAGACAACTGATCTTTAAAAAGCCTGACATGCTAATTCCAATTTTGAACAATACCAATATTTTGTTTTTGATAGTTTTTATAGGATTTCAAAACACTTTTAATATTTTAACCTTTTTATTGAAGAAAAAAAGATATGTGAAGCGGCTTTTGTTTTAACTGCACAAAATAACACCTTCAAATATAAATGACATGTTTAGAGCACTGAGAGTGGCTGATTATTATTATTATATTATTATACCTTAGCAGAGTTAGATAACGTTGCTGCTTAAGATCAAAGATCTCTCAAATTAAGGAAATTGAATCTGATAAATCTTTACAACTCTACTTTTTAATCTGCTATGTCTGGGGTTACTCCATATATGAAAAGATTATCTTATGCTCTTTTTTGTTACATACTATTGTTTTATGCCCCCATTAAAAACAACTATTCCCACCTTGGTTCATCTGGTAAAATTGATCTAGAACCATCACTGAATACTATAACCATAGGTCCTCATCTAGTCTGTAGGCCGGTGACTAAAGTTGCCTCTTAATAGGGGTATATTCATACCACAGGAAAGTAAAAAAAAACTCATACATAAAAATTAAATGTTAAAAGCTGAAGTAAAACGTAAAATGACCATAAGTTACATTTGTTTTAAAAGTATTGTAAGAGATACCTGCAATTTTACCATTTGGATTTCCTTTCCTTGAGTTAGATTTCTTTCATCAGTGAACTCAACCTGAAGATTTTAAGTGTTCTTTTTAAGGTCATGCTATAGAAAGAGATCCATTTCAAAGCTTTTTACATATCTATGACAGGAGTGCCAGTGACAGTAGATAATGCATTACAGATTCTTTACAATATGTTCCACCGTTTAGCCTCTAAAATGGGCCTCCCTGCTCTTCGGCAACATCTGAGATTCCATTATGCAAACCAGCAGTCACCGTCTCCTCCCCTGAAACCTGAAATGTTGCTCTCCCTGTCACTTGCCTCAGCACCAAATTGGCTTATCCAAGTTCAGTATTTAAATATTTTGGCCACCCTTTTTCATCTCCACCTAAACTCACTGAACTCTGTTCAGTGACATTGTAATCTTTTTTTTCATTTCCAAACATTATCCGTCCTCAGCATAAAGTAATTTAACCTACCTCAGGATGAAACAGAAATACTCTGTCTGGTTGTTCTAAACCGGTGGCACGTTTAAGCCCAGTAGGCCTACAGTGAAACATGCAACCAACAATATATTGTAAAGCTTCATGCGATCAGTCTATCAAGCACAAACATATGTCCTCCAATGATGGAAAACGTGATATATAGTGACAGTTATGTTAAATCTTAAATGGGCATAGTTTGTGTTTCTCTAAGAATATGCTATCTTGCTGAATTCAGTCAAAGGTAAATTTGATTTTATTAGCATTAATATGGTCCAAGGTATAACCTTCAACTTTATTAAGTGAAACCTGCTAAATTTGCCAAATGTGAGAGTTATACTTTTTGGATTGGTACGTCATGAGATTATCTTAAAAACATCTTTTCAGTACAAGCTTGAACAGGGAGGGGATTCATCTACTTGTAGAAAAATGACCCTAAACAAACAACCAAAGTTATGGTTTAGATTAAAGCACATGTGGTATGGATATTATTTTCAATCAAATATATAATTTAAAAGTAAGTGCTGAAACTGAGTAAAAGATCTGTGGCTTTACTTAAAAACGTGTTTTCTCAGCTGCTCCCCAACAATTCTGAACTTAAGCTATTATACAAATTACAAAGGACAAACATTTCTTATCCTAAAAACCTTGCAGCAAAAATGTTTCTGTATATTCAGTTTTACTAATTAAGACAATTTTATCCTATAGTTTTGTAATTATTTGAGGAAGCACATGGAAAGTCACTAAACAGTGGATAGACAAAGCTCTTTTAATGTATATGAAAATGTCCCCTACATGTCTTTATGTTTGTTTATGCATTATAAATTATTTGCTGAATCATGAAAACACTTTTATATCTGAAGGGAGTCAAACCATATAGATGACAAGTGTGAGCAATTATGTCTTCAAGGTGAATTTAACTGGGAGGAGTAATTATTACAACCCATAAATCTGCTCCTCGGTCTCTTTTCAACTTAAGCTGCACGGCCCTCATAGGGTAATACATTTTGAAGAAATCTTATAGACATTTTGTATAAGAACACTAGCCATAATTTAATTTAACTATTGTATGGAGTACAGGGCGCAGCAATCAGGACTGACAAAAATGTCTCAGATTTTAATCATAATACTCAGGGGGTTAGACATAAATTAAAATGGTGACATTTAATAGAAACTTAACTCAAATGAGAGTTTGCTCCTCCATTCTGCAATTGTTTGTCCTAGAATCATTAAATCTTCTCTTTTCTCTTTAGGGTGTTGTTCAGTGATATCAATGGCCCTTGAGGCTGCAGTGTTTGTAGTACTCCATATAGCCCTGGTTGTGAAGACATTAGGTAGGATGATACATTGCATCTGTCATTCTCTGAGCTGCAGCTGCAATGCTGAGACTTTCTTGGCCAAGCCGTCCATCTCTACATTTCACAGCACCAACGTGACTGCAGCAGGGAGACGAGGAATCTGGCTCGTACGTGCCGAGTCCCTGTGCATCCACTTGCTTCCCCTCAGAGAGCAGCATCTGCATCCTGGCTGCTGCTTCCTGGCTTGCTTGGGTCATCCCCCAGACTACGTCATTATAGAGGACATAAGGCTGCACTCTCCATAAATTAAATCTGGGACTGCATTAACACAGGGCCACACAGTCTGAGATTAACCCTTGAAGTGCACATAGGACAGATATCTATTCTGTTTCTATTTTTGTCCATGAAACATACGTAGGTATACCTGATGCCGTCATTCCTTTTCAGCTTTGTGTACGCAATGTAAGAATGTGGAGACACATTGTTTATAAAACTATTTGGAACTTAAACATATTTCTAAGCTTCATTTTGTGTTGCTTTCTGTCAATACAAGTTCTAACAGATTTGACTCTTGATATGTGTGTTAAATAATTTATCAAAAGATTACTATTGATTTTCTATCTCAGGGGTCAAGGTTTGACCTCTCTTTGAAGTGAGGGTTATTTCAGTGTTTTTCTCGCTTCTCCACCATTTTACCTCTCACTTCTAAACCAGTAGCATTTTAAATTATGTTTTCATCAATCTGAAGGGTCCAGTTTGTGTTTTTATGTACCTGTGTGCTGCTTGGTGGAAGTCTGTAACAGACAATCTTAAGGTTTATAGCTGTAGTTAAAAGGTGTAGTCAAATAAGACTCTAGGCTACTGCACTCTTTGTTGTTATAATTGAAAAACCTAAAGACTTTTTGTTGACGTGCAACTGTTTACTCAATCGATTGTACACATTACTACTAAAACTTGGCTCAATGATACATTTAGTAAAGTGTTTACAAAAGGTTGGGAAGGTTGCTGATGAAGGGTGTAAATTTCAGATTTATCTGTGTTCGTATGTTGTATGTTTGTTTACATGTATGTAGTATATATATACATAGTTTGTGTCAATATTGGGAAAAAAACAAGTTTAACAGGAAGGTTACTCAAATTTAAGTTGATTTAAGTACAATTAGAGGGAGTGGGGGTAAAAAAAAAAAGGCTTTACTTCTTTATATTCCTTTTCAGACAGTTTCCATTAATCGATGTCACTTCTCTGGCTGTATATACTGACAGGTTTATTTGGTGGAGTGTTTTGTCTCTATTTATGTGCAGGTTAATTTAGTTGGTTTGGAATTTTGGCGTTTGTTTGGTTGATATCAACTAGTCTTTTCTGTGTGTATTTGGTTGATTCATATACTGTTGTTTGTCAAACTGTCTGTCTGAAATTGTCTGAAATAAATTCCTATTCATAAAGATGACTTGGAGACATCAAAACCAAGGATCAAAGTAGTAAAGAAAATATACGTACATGACTCTGAATATAATGTGGTTGTAGGTGGTGCAGCATCTCTGTGATGCTGGCATGTCCCTGAGGCTCAGAGTTGGAAAAGAAGAAGAATTACATCAGGTTATGTAGCAATATATACCTAAATAGGGCCCCTGGTTGTATTAGTGGAGCCCACATTCTCAGACACTTCCACCTCATTTGTTTATTTTATTTTTTAACATACCTTTGTTAAATAGCAATGAATGATCGTATTAAAAAAGGTTTTGTTTTAAATGAGCCCCCTGCCGGTTGCATCGGTACTCTTTTTTTTCCTCTCTTTCTTAGGGAAGATAATTATCACTCCCTTAGACACTAAACGGAACACAAACCCCAATCAGTCTGTGAAATTGGACAGTTTGAAACTCTTTCCAGCGAGGAGAAAAGTTTGCTCATGTGTAACACAAAGCAGTTAGAGCTTCAAAGCGGTGGCGAATAACTATATCCCCTGCAACTTAAAATTGTTCTTTTTTATTTTTTTTGCTTTAAACCAAAATTAAATATAAAACGCGTTGTTTCACGTTGAGTGGTATGGGGCTTGTTGCTGTAACCCTCCCGGCATTCGTCTTCGACCTGCAACCATTTATAGCCTCGCGGTGACAAACAATCTTATTATGAGATTTAAACTTTGCCTCTGCCAGTCTGAAGGATCAACACGCGCTCCCCTCCCTTCGCACCTATTCCTCGATGTTTCCCCAACTGATACTGTAATATCTGCCTACCTACACGCCTCCCCGTGACAGCGGTTAAACGCCGGTGTCAGCTCTCGGTGTAATAGAAAGACCCAGGCAGGGCTCTAGGTCTCTTCAGAATAACATGAAGGCGAGCGACGAGAGGAGCTCAGTGCTGAATTAAATCAGTCTCCGCTTAATGGATCTCTGAGGCTCGCTTCACAGATGCTCGCTGTTGAGTGATCCTCAAATCTGGAATCTTTTTATTTCATTAGTTACTTTAAATAATTGCTTTTAATCTTTAACGCCATAAATGTATCCGCATCCTTTGAAATTGTATTGTATTCGATGTGAGATACAGTGATACTCCGTTTAGTGTCGGGACGAAGGTTCCTGTTCTGCTATCACTCAGCAGGTAAGTTCATTTTTTTTATGCCTAACTTTAACGTAACAGACTTTGCAAAAGGTTTGTTGTGTTTTATTTTGCTTTATCATGTTGTCATCGATAGATCTCCAAGCTCCAATGTTGTGATTGGAATAACTGTTGGCTGAAATGGTTTAGCCATGTCACTGTGCAATTACTAAGTCTTGCATACCTCTTTTAAAAATTAATAGTTCAACTTGAGCAGCAGCCTGCTGAAGCCGATGGATTTTACATTAGTTTCAGTGAGAGCCATGCGCCCTGACATAAGATGGATGAAAGCAAAGCACATAGAACACTTAATCGCGCGATTCGATCCAGAAAGATTTACTTTTATTAATACGGCATTTTCCCAAATTGTTGCTTCTTTTAAACTAGACTCGATTTTGCGTTGGTTTTATTTTTAGCTCAGTTTTATCGGATGCTTAGAAACTGTAAACCCGCAGCTTGAGCCGATTCAGCACCACGGACAGCTCCGCTTCAACAAACCCATATCAGTTAGTGCGAGCTGTTTACAAACTTTCCCTTTAATTATTATTTAGGACATGAATGCCTCTGTGTTGCTAGGCCCACACATACAAAACAACACGAATCTGCATTTAAAATGGACATACTTAAGAGATGTCCATGCAAACAAATTAATGAAACTTAAAAAGATCATTTGAAACAATGTCATTCAATGCCATGCAGTATAACTGCCCAGTGTTCAGAGTTGCTTTGTATAGTCTCACTCAGATAAGCTGAGGATTTTGCTGCGTGTGTGCCATCTGTCTGAAGAAAGTGTACTTAATGTTGTACCCTGGATGAGTCGTTTCAATTTAGCAGCATAAGTCTTCACGCAAAGTGGCTTCTTTTTCTCTAACTCAACACATAATTAATGTTTACATATTTTCAACATTCTGGGCAACCTATTTACTTACGACTTACTGAGAGTCAGAGGGGGCATCAGTAAGGGTCTGTGATGCTAGAAACACCATTGTAGTCCTCTGGTTGCACAAATCAAAATGTATATATTTCTAATCATTTATTTTTCTATTTGGTGATTTTCAACATTATTTTTGATAATCAAATACATAGAATGGCTTTAAACATAATAAATCAATATAGTATGAATTGTGATTGTTTATGTTTATCGAGTGCCATCATCTTAAATTTTTTTTTAGAAAGGATACGCTTCAGTTTAGGCTTTACCAGTAGAGTGTATATTCCAACTTTTGATGTTGAGAGTTGTGACAGTTCTGAATCATCTCTGTTTTGCTGTTGCTGCTAAAGATGTCTCCCGCATTTGCCTTCCACATCTCCCTTTTCCAGTCCCCGTCTCCCTTATCTTGATTATACAGCTGGATGATTGAGTCAGCTGTTTTGTATGCAAGCTGCCTTGGCTTGGCTCTTTTGTGGAGGAGAGAGAACCAGATCGTGCTGAGGATACTGAGAGAGAATTACAGAGGCTCATGACCATGAGAAGCAGAAGAGACGAGGTTGTCCTGTTCGATAAATTACTGTTTGAGAGAGGCAGATATCCTGGGGGGGCAGCGGTTTTGGAAATTTGACTAACCTGTCTAAAATGGTAATGGCAGTGTGGATTACAGTTTTACACAAGTCTCTGAATGGATTGATGGATACAGGTTGGATATAAGTTGACAGGCTTTATAACTTTAACATACGCATTAAATGTATCAAGGATGGTTACAAAGAGAGGCTATTCATGTGTGTGCATGTTTCTCTTCTCTCGTCAGTTCTGATCTTCTATAATACAGTTGGCCCAATAAAACTGATAAACATATCTTGAATCTGTTAATACATTTATCACACTAGAGTATCATTGTAAGGAATTTACCAAGGCCGAAAACATATCAGTGAAGCGCTGGGTGTTTGGTTAACAGTGCACAAAACTGTAATCAAAGGGACCAAGCAGGGTTTGTAGACAAAGCTGTGAAACATATGGTACAACAGCATGGTCTAATTTAGTGGCACAGTTCTTGTCAACCATAAATACTTATTGTGCCTTGAATACTGTGTGCCATTTTACAAAAGCAGAGCTGCCACCTCAGTTGCAAGTGTCACATATGATACTTAGCTGTTTTGTTAAAAGGAATAATGAAGTAACGCTTCTTGGTTCATGCTGGAAGGATGGATCAGTGAAGCAGCAACAGGAGCAAAAAAATAAATGAAACAAACAGTTTATTTGGTAAAAATATAATGAAGAAGTGACATTTCATTTTCACTTTAGTTAACCTGCATTTACCATTTTTTTATTTTACAGCAGAAAAAAATAGATTATTTAGGATTTTATGCGTTACTCCAACAAAAGGCGATGCATAGTTTTTAGGACATAGGCACAGATATATTGTTCTCAAAATGTTTTACTAATGGAAGTCTAAAAAGTGAGTCCAGCATTTATTGATCTCTAAAGAACCTCTCCAGTTCAACCATTCACTTTCTGAATATACGTAATTAATAAATAGAGTCCAAAGGTTTGTAAGGCTTGTCTTAGTTGCAGCATAAACGCAGATGTCCCTTTAAGTCTGCAGTTCTATATTAGCTATTGGAGACCATGAAAATGAGCACACTGCATCACAAAATCCATGGAAAATACTAGACAGGTCAGTACATGACGGTGTGGAGAACTTTTAATCTGGGATAAGTTATAGACTAACATAATATTCTAGCATAATTATCTCATTGAATACTGCTTTGTCCATCAACTCAAAATAAAAGGTTAATTATTATTAAATATAGAGCTACATTTATAGAAACAGCCAAGATTCTTCTTGTAACATTGGAAGAGCTAGAGAGCCACTGCTTAGTTGAGAGACTTTGTCCACTGAAGAGATTTGAATGAATCGTTGTTCTAATGAAATCTTTCTCTAACAAATCTTATGCTGATAATTTTTCTCTGTTCAGATAATACTGTACTAAAGGTAATCTTTTTGTAATAGATGTTAAATACAAAGTTTCATGGAAATAATCAGTGAAAAATCACTAGGTTGGCAGCATCATGGTGGGGGAATCATTTGATTTAGAAGGGACAGGAAGGCTGTTGGAGACAAAGAGGCGATGGATGCAAAAAAATATAAGGAAGTCCTGGAAGGAAACCTGCTTGTGGTTGCAGAATAATTCACACAATGGTGTAGCTTTACCTCCCATAGAAGGAAAAACCCTAAAGATGCAGCCAAAAAAAACAAACAAGCAAAAAAAAAAAAAAAACAGAATCTGTAACATTATCATTTTAATTACTATTTATGCACTACTGTAAAATTAACATATCACATTAATTGGAAAATATACACATTTAACTCTATGGCTGTCATTTTTCATGGTATAAAAAAGCCAAGGAAAATTAATTCTTGAATAGGTTTTTTTTCATCCTTTCATCAGGTTTTATTTATTTTCATTCAAGAAATCAATCGTTTTAGAATAAAGACCTTTAAGAAGAAGGTGCCATGATTTGTGTTCTGTTTTATCAGGAGCAGCTAATCATTACATCAGTCTGTAAAATATGTTCTAAATTGTAATATTCTTTTATTGCTTTTGAAAAAGTTAGCCTTTTATGGCCAGAATTAAAAGGTAAAGCTATTTGAATGTATATTTAGTTGTTTTTCCTTTTAATTTTACAACACTGGTGTTTTGAGGACATATCAGGACTGCACAACATAAAAAATAATTACTTAAAATAAAGAAAGATTCATGTTTGATTACATCAAAAGGGTAAAAGTTGTTGAAGAAATCTTATAATATGTTGTTAACAAGTCTATATAATATCTATTGTGAACAACTCTTTCCATCCTACTGTATCAACTACTGATTTGTGTGAAGGGTCCTATTGTCCATATATTATCTTGGCAATCAGATAGGAAATATCTAAATTTTTATGATAGCAAATTGTGAAACACTTTAATTTGAATAATTATTTCTTAACTGCTTTTCTCCAGTGTTTCCTGTTGGACCATTTGCTTAGAGATGTTCTCCGGTAAAGGGCAAGGCTATCAGAGACATTCTCTGAGTTCTGCTTCGGGACAATTGGCATTAAAAAGGAAGTGTTACGGAAAGTAATTTAGTGTTCCGGAAAGAGGAACTATTTGCTGAGGATTTCCAATGTCTAACGAAGGCTGTAATGAGCTGATAAGGCTGAAAAGACAAAAAACAACCACTGCCCATCAACTGCAACCACCCTAAGGCACATTTTCTTTTATTCGATGCAAAACATGTACTGTTTCCGAGATGGTATCTCTTTCAACTCTTGGAAAAACCGTCCCCTTGAATTGGCAACTTGTAAGTACCTGCAAAGAGTATTTTCAGACCTGTGCTTTAGTTCTCTTATGGGAAAACATGTATGTAAATGTAACCAGAGTTGATTGTTAAAAGTGGCAGAAATGGCTCTTTAAATTCCAGTATCAAGAAAGGGAACACAGCAAGTACAGCTATTATCGCTTGGAAATTTCTTATCTGATATCACCCTACAATGTTCTTGTTTATTTCTTGCGAAAAATAATGCAACAGAGGCTTTTTGAAAATGGATTACTAAAGACTTAATATATACTTTGCACACATGAAAGATTCAACAGACTGTAACAGACAAATTGTGGGGGTAAATGTTGGAAATGTGCAGATTTACTCTGGGGTGTGAATCAGTCATCATTCATTTAGAAGTGAACAAAAATGATTCCACTGCAGAATGCCAGAAACATTCGTGTAGTTTCCTCAGCCACCTGCTGGTTTCCTTATGATGCACAAAACCCTTTAGTAAACAAGCATCATGAAATGGCAGAATGAGGCATATTGAATGCTGTGCTGCCTCTTATTTGCCATCTTTTTGCACAATAATTAGGCACTGGGTTGCATGGCAGTGTATCTTCAGGCACCTGCATCGCTTGATGAATATCTTTAGATGAGAGTCTAATACAGCTGGCCTCAGAAAGTCCTGTCAAAACCGAAGTTTATGAGCTTTGCTTTAAGTGGTAATGATCACTATCACTGAGGGATTGTTCAAATCA